AACATCTCGCGCGTCTACAGCGTCAACTCCGTTCCTTCTACGATGATGAAGATTCTATTGCTAAGGCTAAGATTTCATTCTTCATGTGTGAGCAAGGAACTTCTGAGTCTCTATCTGACTATGTCAAGAGACTAGAGTCTACTGTTACTGAGCTGCATCTAATGGGTATTATGACTTATGAGTATGATATGAAGAGAAGACTATATGATGGTCTACAGGCTGATTATCTACGTGATAAGGTCGACAGGGAGTTAGGTGATTCTACTATTACGTTCGATGAGTTCGTGCGTCTACTGACTGGCTATGAACGTCGTCGATTGGGTAGAGTCCGCCGTCAAGCTCTATACAACCAAGTGGCAAATGCCTATTCAAAATCGTCTAATGAGTCTGGCAAAACTACTAAGGCTGGTGAGAACCCCAAGTCTAGAGGTTATCCTAATCCTAATTCTCAGAAGGTTAATACCGTCGTCGGTGATGTCGACGATGACTCTAACCTCGATGCCCACGTCTATGCTGTTGGCGCCGACTCTATGTCTATACAATGTTATCGTTGCACCGGCGTTGGTCATCCGGCTAGACTCTGTCGAGGCAAGGTGAGCAATTTAAGCTCAAGGTGCAACAAGTGCGGTAACTCTAATCATGTTACCGATCAGTGCAATGTTCCTGACAAGAGTCTCTATTGTCAGAGATGTCGTAAGAAAGGACATCTAGCCTATGTCTGTCGGGCCGACAAACCGGTCGATGGTATATCTAAACCAGCTAAGAAGAGCAATAAGAAGTCTAGTGAGGTTCAAGTTGAGAGCAAAAAGAAGCCTGTCAAGGACGAGCCCTCTACGCCGACTCCTAATGCCAAGGTTACTAATCCTAAGACCAAGGCCCATCTAGTCTCACATTCAAAGTGCTCTAAGTACAATGCTCTCCACTCATCGTCTCCCGACTCTACGGCAACATCTAGTACGTCCAGCTCTAGAATCTCAATGGTTGTCGGTGATCTGTCTATCTGTGGTACTATCCGGCCAGTACTCTATGATACAGGTGCAGACGTATCACTAATTGCAGTCTCTACACTGCGTCGTCTAACTAATAAGGAGCTCCGCTTCGATGATCCTTCGGCTCTCGGTCATATTAATGTCGCCAATGGCTCTACCTTGTCAGTTCTCGGTAAAGTCGAGCTAGAGGTCGGATATGGCTCTACATTCGTCAAGGACTCCTTCCTTTTGGCCTCTAATGAACTCAGTACTCCAGTCATCATTGGTTGTTCTACGATGGCTAAACTTCGTACCACTATAAGTCTATCGCCAGAAGGTATCCAAGTCATCATCGGTGGTTCTACTGGTTCATCTAATGTTAACGCTCTAGATCTTCTAGATGGTCGCTTGTCTGTCAAGGAGATGGATTGGGCTAGGAAGGTTATGGTTATGCAGGTCAGTCACTACTCTAAGGTTGTGCCAAGTCTACGTGATCTATCGGTCAAGTCTTCGCTAACTATCGAGTCCCTTGCTAGAGCCAACTCTCTAAGTGGTCCGATTGGTCTTTATCAAGATCTCTATCACGATGCTAAGATTTATCCTACTAATGATATGTCTATTGGTATGGATGATACTCTACTCGTTGACGAATCGGATAGAGAGTCTACAAGCCGTGATCAACTTCCCCCTTGGGACGCTATATCTAGGTCATGGGTCTACGACTCTAATGCTCCATTAGGTAGAGCCCATACTGAGGTCCCCTGGAGGGATGATTCCCGTCCAGAGTATAATTTCTACTATGCTGCTAATTTAGCGGCATAGTAGAATTTAGTAGGCATTTGGAAGTGGACAATGTCCACTTCCAATGAGGTTCTCTACGAGGTGTCTCGCACTAAGGTGATTTATATAACGTCCTCTACCAGACCTCTAACACGCTCTCTTCTAGAACGTACTAGGAATCTGCTAGATCGGCTACAACTCTAAAGGTATTAGAGTTGCTGGCTCTAATTCGTGACTCCCTCACTGTCGCGGTCCTAGTGATGTGTATGCGTGCATCTATCTATTAAGTGGTATAAGGAGATGCTCTAGTAGTTAGTATCTACGATTGCATCCGCTATGACGATATCTATATTGGTATCACTATCGATGTCTCTAATGACATCTCTACTTTTTCTCTATAGATCATAAACTAGATTCCTATACCTATATTGTATTTGTCTGATTTATATAGTCAATTAAGATATGGTTTATGAGATGGTCTCTACAGATGTGTCTAAACACGGACCATCTACGGGGTATGTGCTGACCCTCAGGCAGCGCAGGATTCTATGGGGCTCGCCTAGAATCTAACCGTTTCAATCAAAGGCTTTATTGGACCAAAATACTGGATTTAAGTTCGTTTGATCCTTGTGTGGGGTTGCGATGAGGACGACGGCGCCGACATTGGCTAACGCGAGGCAGAGGAGAAGAAGGGAAACTTGAGCCAAGATGGCTACGGTTAGTGACAAATGAACTATAGCTACCAGCGTTGGAATATATGTTTGCTTTCCTCAGCTGATCTTAGGAGTGAGTCCGGAGTTTCCTCACGTGAAATAGGCGTTTATATACGAATTAGGATAGAAATGTACAGAAACCAATGAGAATTTCCCGAATTTTCCTCAAAATTTTCATATCGTCGGCCACACACGTAGTTGACCA